CATGGCCCAAGTGGTCTAGTGGACAATGCTTTGGCGTTTGAAACTATGGGAGCTGGGTTCGAGCCTCGGTGGGAACATCATCACTCGCTGGGGAATGCAGGTACATCCAGTGACGAGTCGTAAATAGGACGAAATGCACATCCTGGATTCCACTGCGAGTCAGCATCCACCAATTAAATTATATTTAAACTTCTGTTAAATAAACTGAGCAATGTATTTTGCCTCATTGTCTAAATTCTACTTTCAAGTTTAATGCATCAGTATTTTAATATCAACAAATATGAACACCAATGGAGCGTGAAAAATATATTAAATTACTACGGCCATATATAAATAAATAAAAATCATTATTGGCAAAGTTAATCCATAGGTCACGATCGATCAACTTAGACTGTGTGAATATTGAGCAGATGACTCATAATTTTATATATTAATTTGAGTAGTATGATAGCATGTAAGGAGATTGAAATTAACCAACATGTTCCTAGGCCATTGATAAATCACATTGGAATAAATGTGTCCAAATACTAGTTCACTCATATAGTCTTGTCTTTTGAATAGCCTAGCAAGAAGTCGTTAAAAGTCAGTCATGTCAATGCAAGTTGAAATAAAAATTCAGATAGGACTATTAGTGAACTAGAATTTGAGCACATTCTGATCTCATAATCTACCTAGCAGTCACGAAAAAATCGGATTGGTCCTCCTAATTAACTTTATTAGTCTTTGATATTACTGTGTAATGGGAGAAGACAAGCGACATGGCAAAGGACTTTTTTTTATGGATAAAAAGCACACCATATTTATACATTTTTAACCACATTAAAGATTGGAAGGCAATAAACAGTTCTGATTTGATATCTGATTTCCGAAGGTTACACATTGACGACTGCTTTTTAGCTGCTTCTATAGGTCAATCAAAAATGTCTTGATTCACGGTTCCTAACGATATCTTATCAGTGAAACGTGTCACCTGTTATAGCCACAGTTGTGCAAAAACTATAGACTCTTTGTCTTGCAATCAGTTGTATTCTCTCAGCTGGTTGGTTTAAATTGCGAAGCTTTAGTCTTCCTTCTGGATATCTTCAGAGCAAGTTTTAGCATGAAATGAGCACATTTGAATTCTCCATGAATGATAGAATTGCGTCGTCTCCTGGCAACCGTCTTCGTGACTGGTGGTCGATTAACATCTGTACTGATCATTTTTTATTGACTAGGATTTTGAACTTTCTCGTTACCTGATTTACTTTTTATTAGTTGGTAGATTTGGTCTATATTAACATGTTTGTTAATTGCATATTCGTTTGAATACACCAGGCTTCTAGGAATTCTCTGGCATCAATTTCGGTGTTTCCTCTGTCTAAAACTTCGACATTATCCCAATCGAATTGATGTCCATAATTATCTATATGCATTGATATGAAAGAATATATATATCATGTCTTTTCACGGTTGATTTGTGTTCCTGGTTTCTGATTCGAAGGGGACGCCCACTTTGACCAACGATGTAATGTCTGTTACAATTTATTTTGTAAATGTTATTAATTTTATCTCCTTTTTCTGTTGGATGTTTCTGTTTGGCACAATATCGAATTAAATGATTGGACTGGCTGGCTGACTTGTGTGCTATATCTATTTCAAACGATTTTTAACATTCCAGCTGTTATTTCAGATATATATATATATATATATATATATATATATGGTAGGATGAATTTTCTTAGTCTTTGATGATGGTTTCTTGTTGGTGTTGTGAATCTGATTTTAAACACATTTTGATGAAATTGTGAGGGGGATATCCATTCCTCTTTTTGAAGACAGTTGGTAGGTACTTTTCCTCCATTCTCTTCAACACTGGAGTGATACAGTATGTTTGAACTCTTTTAGACAATGTCTGCACACAGTTTCTTTTGTGGGTAATCGGGTTATTACTACTATAGTTGAGTATTTGATCTGTGTACGCTAATTTTCCACATACTTGTGTTTCTAAATTTCCTGTGTTAGTTCTCCTGATTAAGGCATCTAAAATCTAAAAATGAGATTTTTTAAAATCTAATTCTTTTTCTCTTGTGAATTCGATGTCTTCAGATATGTTGTCTGTCTATCACTGACGTCACAGAATTTCTAGATGATTCTTTCTGGTCGTTTAATTAATGGACGAATGGTAGAAGTATATTCTAACAGGAAGGTTGGAAGTATATATCACAAAACACAGAATATATAATATGTTAAGGTATAATTTTGGTCCTTAATAAGTGTTTTAAAAAGGATAAAATCAATCGGTTTTTTGTGCTGGTTGAACTATAAGGTACAGTAGCACAAAGTACATTCTGAATAGTTCATTTTGTAAACTGGATGTCTAACCCCTTTAATTTCTGTCATTGTTATTGTCCAGTATAATCTCTTACTTCATTTAGCATGAAGGGGTTAGGGTGACAGCAGTTAGCAATGTGGTACATTATCGATCCTGAATATCTAATTGATGCATATAATGGGACAATTTTCGCAGTTAACTAACCATAAATCTGATGTAAAAATCTGTTTCCTGAGAGTTAACAGTACCATCGGTACTATTGTGGTGAGAGCAGGCTGCTTGCCAATTGGTAGAAATCAATCTACGTCAATGTCTAGGTAACTAATATTGGCCGTGAGAAAAGATGAACAAGGCTGATTCAACAACCAATCACGGAAGACTTAACGTGGGCAAATATGATTCGCCGATAGATGGCTCCACTTTTCGATGTTACCCGAAACAACCAATCAGAAGCCTGTGTTTGTCTGCTTAACTTCCGAGAAACAACCAATCAGAAGACTGCGTTTGTCTACTTGCATAAGCTATAATAATGTACAGGAAATATATATAAATAAGTGTTGATTTCCATAATAAAACGATCTGTTGCCGGCCCTTGTCTTCTGTTGTTACACTATTAGTCATTCAGTTTAAGTAAACCGTTTGAATTCGGATAACTTTGTACAGTGTATATAGGTCAACCCCAGATCCCCTTATTTACCTTAATGATTTGCGGAATCGAAATGACTGATTTTTGTTAGTAAGTACCCTTGTGTATTAGTATCAGGAGACGAAGGATATCGATGAGTACGTGAAGTACAATTGTATTATAATGCGTCTATAAATCCCCCAACTTCAAACGTACTTGTAGATGTCTGCGATCTCTGTCTCACGTTAGGTGGTATAATAAGGTAAGTAATGTTGACGTTAGGCGTAGTGTTGGGCAAAGAGGGAAAATCAATCGACGAGGCTATAAAGTTACATAGACTGAGATGGCTAGGTCACGTGCTGCGCATGCCTAACCATCGCCTCCCCCGACGGGCATTACTAGCTGATATAGGTGCAGGTTGGAAAAGGGTAAGTGGTGGCCAAACAAAAACATGGCATCAATCCATGAAATCCTTGACAGTTAAACTGAGTCAGGTAGGGAGATGCAGACTCCCGGGTTGGGGCCCTCGGGACTCTAGGAATCAATGGCTGGAGACAATAGGTGACATGGCTCAAAATCGTTGTCAATGACCAGCGCACATGTATTCAGTCTCTGTAATCTTTCATATTCCTTTCTACCATTACCCATTCTGTTTCACTCTTATACTTGTCAGACTGTATTGATTCTCTTCACTCATCTTCTTGTCTACCTCTGTGTGCTATTTGGAAGGTGGCAACTCGAAGTGCTGCACTTGGGTGCCAAGTTCTATGTTGAATCCAGACAGAAACGTACTTGTTGATTATGATCAGATAACTGTTAGAAACCAAACCACAGCAATAGAACGCTCATTCAAAACAAAACTAATCCTTGCAAACAACTATAGTTAACATCATATGTATCGGGATAAGAAACGAAGGGAAGTGAAGTCTGATTAAACAACTAACGTGCATGTATGAAAAACCGAATGTAACACGACCCGTTATCAAATGCTGCGGATGCTTGACTGTGTACCTTCAGTCTAACTAGTTGACTTAAACAGTGGATATTAGCATTCAGTTTTGATTGACGAAAGCTGCAAGCTGATAATTTGGAGGGTGGGGAATTATTTACCACCAGCGTGTTGACCAATTAATTTATTCGAGAAGTTGCCTGAGCCTCAAAGGGCTGATTGCCGACAAAATCTCAACACGGATACAAAAGGCTGCCTTGTAACCAAAAGGTCCCAGGTTTTAACCCCGGTAGGTCCTTATTGATGAAGAGTCCCAAACTAGGACGAAACAGCTGTACTGTACTCCACGCTGGTTTTCAATGGTTCTCTACCTGATATCAACCCAAGATGAAACTTGAAAAAAATCAAGCCCCTACTGATAGGATCCCACATAAAGTAGTATATCATTATTTCTCACGTATGTTGTAATTAATTATGCGATTAACCATTTCCCACGGCTGTGAGGCCGACTTTATTGTCGTAAATAAAAGGCATAAATACCATGTGTTGTTTTCCTAATAGTTGTTGTAATGATTACAATACAAAGTCACAGGGCAGCCTTTGTATTTTGATATTTGCGTGGCTCAGTGAATCGGAAGGTATCACAGGCAAATAGACATATTAGCAAGGCGCAGACAGAACAAAGTAACTACAGTTCTTATTTCGTTTTATTGCAGTTATAACGAATCGGCGACGGAGTTATTTCAGTTCACTGAAGTTATAACACCCACAAACTAACTCCTCATAATACATTCGTTGGGATGGGTTGCTGAATAATAGTTCATAGTTTCTCTGGTTTGTTATCTCCAAGTGTCTGTATCACAACTGTTTATAGTCTTAGTAATCAACACTATTTGAACCAAATATACATACTAATCTTAGATGGAATTAACATACTTTACACATCATTTATTCAGACAACCACTGCCAAGAAGGTAATAAAATGTTTGTTAGTCAACATACACTTGGCTATTGTTGTCGAGAAGACGCTTATACTATAACGACAGAAGACAAGGGCCAGGCAACAGATCTTTTATTGAGGAAATCAACAGATACCATGTATTTTTATGTATATTATTATTCGTTATTGTTAGCAGAGAGTAAATGTCTTCTGATTGGTTGTTTTCCTGCTGAAGGTTAATCTGTCTTCTCTTTGTGGCCGTTTCTTTGAAAGTTACACTAGTGACCGCCAAATTACACAGATCCAGACAAACTTGACGAGATTAAGGCAAAATCTAGGCTTGTAAGCTAATCCAGATAGTAAGTACAGCAGCAATATCTAACTAGTTGCTTTTTTTAATTTATCAGCATACACAGTTTAAGCTTATGGAAGTGTGTTGTAGGTGGTGATTACTTCCCGGCTGCCCATACTACGGAGGTTGGCTTCTTCTTGGAGTGTCTGAAACAGAAGTATTAGTCATCTGTGACTGTAGAGTTTGAGGGACATCTGCTTGAGGTCGGTTACATACGGCCTGTTCGAAGTCGATTTTGGAATTGTATCCGTACTAAGATCCTACCATCGGCTATGGACGACAGTCACAAGATAAGTCGGGATGTACAATTTTCGAGACCGACCTTTTTAACCTCTCCTCCCCAGATCGGAGAGGCAGCATAACTGGTCATCTGAGGTAAAAACACCTTGCTGCTGTTACATTCCTATTCGCAAGCATTAAGACTTCGCCCACGGATCCCCTGAAGTCGTAGTGTAAACAATCTACACTATCGTCACTCAGACAACCTTCATGGCATGGTAGCAACTGCTATCGATCGAAACGTTAAGAGCTAGGATAGCTGAATATTCAACCTTTTATTCGAACAAACAACACATTTTGTTTTAATTTGTGGCATAAGTATACCAAAACATTTTTTGAACAAAGTCATAATATCACACTCACTATCGAATTAGTTGTAGAATACAAACAAAATGATCTCATCACTATGAGTTAAAAATTTTCCTCCAGAGAATGAGAATATCACACACACACAACAACGATATATGAAGACAACAATTAGAACAGGAAAAAGGGGAAGTGGCCTTTAGGGCGCGCGAGCTGGAGAGAGAGAGTGAGGAAGAAAGGAAAGAGTAAGAGTACAACACAGTTGTGGGTGTCAAGATTAGAAAAACCGGTTTAAATTATGGATAGATAGATAAGGAAAGCAATTGATTGATTGAGAGAGAGAGGGAGAGAAAGAGATTACAGGACAAAGACGGCCATAATTAAACCGGATAGTAGTCGACGTTAGATGAGAATAAAAAAAACATCGACAACAACAATTGGAATGGATGCAAAGTAATTACGTATGAACGGAAGATGGGAGAGATGAGACACTATTCTCATATATGACTGTGACAAATTAGTATAGATGGGAACAAAGTGTGTATGTATATATATATGAGAGAATGAATATTATATATTACCCATGATTAATTAATATTTGTATATTTTTTTAAAGAAAAGAATATTATGATTGATAATTAAAAAGGTGTTTAATTATTCATCTTCTAGATTTCGTGTGACTTTACTAAAGTCAAATGGATGACCAGTTATTCTTTCATACATTTCTAATACATCTGTGCATGTACTTTCAAAATGCGTTGAGGCATCATAACTCTTTGAAATATATATCTAGAGGAGAGAAATACAATTAGGTGATATTCAACAATGATAATGATGATGATCACAAGAAAAGAGAACATACAGAAAGTAGGAAATAATTACCAAAAACTATGCTGTGCATCGTCATCCATGCGTCTCATGTGATTCAGGGTTCGACCCCCCACCGACGCACTCTTACATCGGTAGTAAAAAAGTGGAGGGGTAGTCAGCCTATGATGTTGGTGTCGTGGATTAGCATTGGTTGGTACATCGCAGCTACTTGGTTGGGGTCCGAGACATAGTTCGAATCGGTGGCTCGAAACGCTAACACATATGGCCAAGAATTGCAATTAATGGAAAACATGTTACAATTTACTTATTTCTTCCTTTTCTCACAGTAATACGCAGAATATTGTCTGATGTACTTGCCTCATTTCTGGATGATGTCCTTTATTTATTCTTCCCTACTTTATATTTTGTTGCTTTATTATTACTATTATTATTGTATGGCACATCCTCTTGGTGCCTATATACTGCACCAGGTTCGGTGTTTTAAATAGAAAGAATAAAAAAGACGGTAGTAAACCAGATAACGAGGGAAGGTTGATCGTGAGACTAGCAACCCTACCCCGTAAAAATAAAACCACACTGCTACTGAACAGTTCAAGACTGAAGCACCATGTTCCACTGAGAACGTAAAGGAATAAAATAATGCTGTAAACCACCATAAGTTACAAATAAGTTTAGTAACAAATACACACAAATTCATCTTCAATAATAAACTGGATCGTTACTTCACAGTGCACAAACTCTTCGTGAATATGATTATATATATATATTGATTACACCTTGATGCCACACCGTATTTTCGGTACAAGTATGGAATTTTCAGCATGTGTTATTGGTAGCCCAAATTTTGCAGGCCGACTATAGATATCAGGTGTGCGTCGGGAGGGGATCGAACCCCGGACCATGTGGATGGTCGGCGAGAGTCCTAACCACTGTGCCACTGACGCACACATATACGTTTACTGAACCAAATATTGTTAATTCAGTCTTTAAGAAACAGTCTACAAAATGTAACTTCTACTACACATTGGCCTATTATTGAATCTGGGAGAATGAATGAAGTCTGCTTTTACGAGCGGTAGTGACAAAACCTGCCTGTCCAAAACCTGACAGAAAGAGTGTACACTGTGACATTGTGACGTAGTGGTAAAGAAGTCGATCACATAATCTAATTAGCCAAAATTTAGAACTCTACAAAACAAACTCCAGGACGACGATAATTTCGGAGAAATTAAAGTATCATAGCCAAAGTCAAGGTCCTTAGAAGGTTGACCTGTAAGGATCGATCAGACACAGGGAATGCTATGAAATGTCACTCCAAATCAAATCATGTCTGCCTTTTTGGACTTGGAGACGATAGATACAATATTCTACTTATTTATTACGTACTTTCTCTGCAAATCTATACTGTTAGCTAGTGTTATGGCGTTTACGATTGAGGCATAGGATCTAGGGTTAAAGTTAGGAGTAGGTTGAATAGTGTCAGAAATATTAATCGATCTCAAAGTACCGTGACCTACAGCCACTTGGATGAATGCATATATCGCGCATAATACAGTTTCTCCATAGATCACCTGTGTAGTGACTGGAAGACATTCTTACAAGACATAAGCTACAAATATACGGCGTGATATTATGTTATCAATATTTTTTAGTGTATTTTTCAACGATTATGCGACTTTTTTGCATCTGAATTCTGATTGGATACTCAAGGTCACTGTGGTTTTGACTATGATAGTCCAGATTTGCCATAATTCCCAACTTTATAGTAGAATCTTGTTACTATCACAAGTATGCTACTAAACTACCATTCAATGTACATTGAACGGTATTCACATTAATGACTTCCCTCTAAAATTATTTTATTCAAAAGGCCAAACAAGTTGTTCAACACCACTGGAAACTTCTGTTTTATCCAATGATGTATTCCAGAAGAAAAATCAGCTTAAAAAACCCTAGACATAAGAATTGCACTCATTCAAGTTGACACCTTGTAGATCAGTACACCCAAAGGAGACCATATAAAGAAATAATACTGTAATGAACAAATGTGTGAGAAGAAAGACAATTAAAAGGTGTATAGTAGGTCTCAGATGCCTTATTGCCCTATTTGAACCAGCGTTAAACATAAAAATTTGACGTCTAAAGCGGGTTGAACTTAAGATTCAGGGAATGAATCCTTACAATCCCACGAATGAATTTGCTGCAGGCGATCGGACAGCATTTGTACAAATCATAATACAGAACAAACTACAATGAAGACTCAAAAACGCATACGTGACACCAAATACATTTGCCTGTCATTACGTTGTTGTGTGTCACCTAGTGAGAGAAGTACTTATTTGCTTGAAATGACTTTTGCTTACAACAGGATGTTAGAGACAAAAGAACAAGAAGTATAATAGAGATATCTCTTGGCAATTTCATCCTCCAAAGCAACTGTACAACTGCATTTATATACATAAGCTTGCCGATTGCCTCCAACCATCCAATACCAACATTTCACAGTGCACCGTAATGGTGAGCAACGTAGCATGGTGGTCACATTGCAAGCTTGACTGATAGAATTCAGTCTGCAACGAAGATGGGACTAGACACATTATACTAGTTACCGACTAGTGTGCAATCCAAAAATATCCAATACAGTCCTACAGGAGGTCAATCGCAAGCCTGAATAGCGCAGTGATAACGTCTCTGACTGCAGCACTGGGTGACACGGGTTCGAATCTCAGAAGGGACATGAGTTCCTTCAAGGTTGCAGATACGCCTTGCTGATGAGTGCCAACTAGCACGAAACCTAGGTTCAGGGCCTCCTGCCGATTGCCTCCAACCATCGAATACATAGATAAAATTATTACGTAACTCCACAATATGTCGAAGGAGATTAAAGGTATGAGTGTAGATTACAAGGGACTTTTGAGGATGAAATCGCCGAAAAGATAACCTTTGTTGAGATTCTTGTTCTTTTCTCTCTACTGAAGAATGGTCATGTGTGCTATGAATTTATACCGAGTATCCAATGTACATAACTACTTTTGTTCTGAGTCAGTAAGGCTGATCTACATCCAATGTCTGATACAGATCAAAAGTAGTGTGCATAACTCACTCCTCTTATTTGGAGTGTCACTTAGATTGACCTGTAGTCCCAAATTCTGACCTGACAGTTTGAGATTTATGGGGAAAGGCGAGGGAACAATGTTAGAACAGGTGCATAAGTTTTCAGTAAACACAAGGAATTATGTAACATGTCGAAGGAACTTTATGCATTCTGATACAGACTAAACGAAAATTCTTATTTGATAACTTCGCGTATAAATTAGTCCAGATATAATTAATGTAGAAACCTGTTACAGATGACAAAAGGAGGTAACATTATAACAATTAGACAATGAACTAAAGTTAGTTACGTAAAATCATAAGAGTGGGGGGACATGAGATAACGTTTCAATTAGACATTGCAAGCTGTGACCTGTATTGCTTAGCAGGTCACGGCACAATTGACAATAGTACTTGTATTTAGTGAATGCAAAATTCTGTATTTTCGTGAATTGAAATTTTCTTGACCAGTGGAGTACAGCAAGCGGGGTGTGAGGGCAAATACTCACCAGCGATGACATTGGCCAGTGGTCACGCTATATCGTGAATGAGCATAAGTTGGAATTTACGGGGTTACCTATTAGATTGGATTCCAGTGGCTTGATGGTCTACGAGCTGGCCTTGTAACCGGGAGGTCTTGGGTTCCAATCCTGGCGGTGGGTGCATACTGATGAGGAGTCCCAAGCAATAACGAGACAGGTATCCATTACTCCCGGTTTTTCAAATCGTTCCCTAACTGATGTCAGCTCATGATGAAATCTTGTAACCAATCAAATCCATGCAAACCAATATTTGAAAACTTACATTGCTTGATTTACCATCGTCGATAGGTTCAAATAAATCTGCTACTGAATAAAATATATGCTCAATACGTCCAAGCAACTGTAATCCAGGTTGAAGTTCTTGATGTGGATTTGATGTTTCTACAGTCGTTGCCACAAGAACAATAAAGAATTTCTCCGGACAAACGTAATGTGGGTGGGAAACACAAGAGACGTATATATCTGCAATTAAGATGTGTGTATATAAAGAGCAGTCTATTTTAACATACCATGATGTCGACCAACTTGATTTTGAGGAATGATTATTTGTGATGAAAGAGCATTTTTTACATTTGGAATGGGATGATTCAAAATGCATATAGCACGAACAACCTGGAAACAAAAAAAAAGTTATATTTAGTTTCCAAACTAAACGTTTGTAAGACTACGCGCACTAGTTATTTAGACGTACTGATCCGGAAAAATAAGGTAATAAAACTTTCCACTTTCCAATGCATTGACAGTCCCATATTTTTTTGTTAGTAACTAGATCCATCCAACCAACAACAACAAGACGTCACTCCCCTTACGTATCTAGGCAACAGCATCGTCACAACTACAGGTGGACGGCACGGATGAAGATATCAAAACCAGAATCGGAAAGGCAAAGAAGACCTACATTTATCTGAAATCAGTTTGGAAATCTACTGTACTCATCATGAAGAACAAGATTTCGATTTTCCACACCTATGTTAAGTCAGTCAGCTCTTCGATATGGGTCAGAAACTTGGCGTGTGCGTCGCCGGAAGCATTTCTAACAGACTACTGTAGACTTTTATCAACAGCTGTCACCTTTGCTGACTCCATGTTGAAGACCGAATAGCGAGCCAGAAAGATTCAGCGACAGGAAACTCTGAGAGCAAAACAACCAAAAACCTACTGCTCAACACATCGAGGAGACCATTGGGTGACATCACTAACGAAGCATTACCTCGAGTAGAACTTGAATAGAAAACGTGTAGGTTTGAGCGTAACGTGGAAGAGACAGTGTAGGGGGAGACGAGAGTCTATGGACAATTGTGTGGTCAGCTGAGGAGGACCGCAGTGAACAGGACAAAGTGGAAATATGCTGTTGAAGCCCTATGCTCCACACGGAATGATAACAACAATAGCGATACTAAGTAGATCCTTCAATGTAAAATCATGGAAAAGTTTATTTGAATACATGACTGGATATTTAACTTTGTACACTGTGGTGTAGCACTGACAATCGTGAAATTACATGGACTAAGATGGTTAGGACATGTGTTACATATGCCTAGTCATCGATCGCCTTCCTCGACAATGGGCAATGTTAGCTGACATAGGGTCAGGCTGGAAAAGAGCTAGCGGAGGTCAAACAAAAACATGGTACCAGTCAATGAAATCCACAACAGTTAGTTTAAGCCACGTAGGAAGGTGTAGACAGGCTTTCTGGTTGGGCCCCTAGGGACGGTAAAAACCAATGGTTGGAAACAATTGGTGACATGGCTCAAAATCGTTCTCAATGGCTGGTGCAGATGCATCCACTCCTTGTGACATATGATTTCCAATGTAAGTAAATTGTTCTTCGTTATTACTATTCCTTTGTCTCACACCTCTGTTTACTGTGTCTATTATGCATTTCTTCTACTTCCTTCTCTTGCTTTGTGTGCTACATAGAGGGAGTGTGGCAACTTGAACTGCCGCACATATGGGCAAAGTTCTATGTCGAAAACAGACAGACAGACAATCGTAGTGTTCGAATGTTGTGAACTTTTCTTATAATACGTATCTAGTCATATTCATATCTCTACCGCTATTAACACTCTTTTTTTCCTTTATATGTTTAAGCCATTCCGGCTTCATTGTAAAATGAATAAAGCCTAAATTCTTGGTTCATTCGTCTTTTCAAGATTCAAGCATCACTCATCGTTCTAAGACTCAATCACCTTCGTAACAATTTATTCATTTTACAATATTCATGGAACGATTTTTCCGACCTGATCGGTTCGACGTAGAACCTAACGCAGTTGGAGCTGCCAAGAAGTGGGATCACTGGTTTGCGACTTTTTCCTACTTCATTGAATCAATGGGATCCGAAAATCCTTCGAAACTACATATTCTCTTCAATCATATTTCTACTTCTGTATACGAATGCATTTCTGAATGCAAAACATACGAAGAAGCTATCGACACTCTCAAGAGTCTCTACATGCAGCCTTGCAACGAAGTGTTTGCTCGACACTTGTTAGCAACGTGTAAACAAGAATCTGGCGAAAATCTGGATCAGTTTGTTCGTCGACTCAAGTCGCTGACTACAGATTGTTCATTCAGGGCAGTTACAGCCGAAGAACATCGTAACGAATCTCTACGTGATTCATTCATCTCAGGTATACAGTCTTCGATGATACGCCAGAGGCTATTAGAACAGCGTACTTTAACTTTTCAAGCGGCATACGATCAAGCACGAGCTCTAGAGATGGCACATCAACAATCGCAGTCATACAACAATCCTGTTACACCTTGCGCGTCCATTTCTTTACATGATGTACCTCATTCATCAGATTCCACACCCTCCGTCAATGAAACAACCATTGCTGCCGTTGAATCCAAATGCTTTTTCTGTGGTAATCGTAGACATCCTCGTTCCAAATGCCCCGCCCGTGATGCAGTTTGCAAAGCTTGTGGCAAGCAAGGACATTTTCAGAAGGTTTGCAGGTCTGCGCCATCTACGAAAAAAGGTCCATCTTCAGTTAACTCTATAATTTCATCTCTCGTTGTGGCTTCAGCACCTCAAAGTCTCACTGATGCTGTTACGCAGCTTACTGTCAATGGGAAATCAATGCAAGCTCTAGTGGATACCGGAAGCAGTGAGAGCTACATCTCTTCCTCAGTTGTTCGTAAGTATAACTGGAAAGTCCATAAGTCTCGAAACAGAATCACAATGGCGAGTACGAATCTTACTAGTCATACTGAAGGACATTGTCTTCTATCCATCTGCTATAAAAACCACACTTATGATCTATTCAAATTTTCCATTCTTCATAATTTATGTGCAGACGTCCTTCTTGGACATGATTTTTTAAAACTTCACAAACACATTGAGATTCCTTTTGGGGGATCAAAGCCGCCTTTTTCTCTCTGTGGTCTACCTTGTGTTCGCGTCGACCTGCCTACTCTGTTTGAAAATCTTTCAAAAGACTGTAAACCGATCGCGATAAAATCCCGGCGTTATTCTCGTGAAGATGAAAGTTTTATTTCCACCGAAGTCAACCGGTTACTGCAAGAAGGTGTTATTGAACCTTCTAATTCTCCTTGGCGAGCTCAAGTTCTTGTTACGTCAAACGAACGCCATAAAAAGAGGATGGTAGTTGATTATAGTCAGACAATCAATCGATTCACTTTTCTGGATGCTTACCCATTACCTAGGATTGACGAAATGATAGAAAAAATCGCACAATATGACATATTCAGCACTCTTGATCTGAAGAATGCTTATCATCAAATTGCCCTAAGGAACGAAGATAAACCATATACTGCTTTCGAGGCTTGTGGGAAACTTTACCAATTTTGCCGAATTCCTTTTGGTGTTACCAATGGCGTAGCTTGTTTTCAACGCATTATCGATGAATTGATCAGTAAAGAACAACTCACAAGCACGTTTGCCTACATTGACAATGTCACTATCTGCGGCAAAACTCAGGAGGAACACGACAAAAATCTAAACAAGTTTATGGTAGCAGCACGCAATTATGGAATAACCCTTAATGATTCCAAAAGTGTGATCTCAAGCAGAAGCATACAATTACTCGGTTATGAAGTTTCAAAGGGGGTTATTAAACCAGATCCCGATCGGCTAAAACCTCTTCGTGATCTAGAACCACCCACAGATATCAAATCTCAACAACGGGCCGTTGGATTATTTGCTTATTATTCACAGTGGATCCCTCGCTTCTCAGATAAAATCCACCCATTGGTAAATAATCGGATTTTCCCTCTTGATATCGAAACTCGAAATGCTTTTGACAAACTGAAAGACGACTTAGAACGTGCAGTCGTTGTGGTAGTTGATCCGAAAGCACCCCTTGTTGTTGAAACAGATGCTTCAGATGTCTCAATTGCAGCTACATTAAACCAGAATGGTAAACCTGTCGCCTTCTTTTCTCGAAGCCTCTCTCGAAGTGAGAAACATCATTCATCGGTTGAGAAAGAAGCCTATGCCGTGGTTGAAGCAATTCGTAAGTGGAAGCATTACCTTCTCGGAAATCACTTCAAACTTGTCACTGATCAACGTTCAGTAGCATTCATGTTTGACAAGATTCATAAAGGCAAAATCAAGAACGATAAAATAATGCGTTGGAGAATTGAGCTATCCCCTTATCAATATGACATCATTTATCGTCCTGGAAGGGATAATCAAGCTGCTGATACATTTTCCCGTAGTTTCTGCGGTTCCTTGCAGTCAGTGTGCGACTTGAAATTTCTCCATGACTCTATGTGCCATCCTGGAGTTGTCCGAATGATGCATTTTGTACGCTCGAGAAACCTTCCATTCTCCCTTGACGAGGTGCGCAATGTAACCAGTAAATGCGTGACATGCTGTGAGTTAAAGCCTCAATTTTACAATCCCTCTAATTTCAAACTCATAAAAGCAACCCAACCTTTTGAAAGGTTAAGCATCGACTTTAAAGGACCTCTACCGTCAGCTAGCCGCAATCACTATCTGCTCACGCTGATCGATGAATATTCTCGATTCCCCTTTGCATTCGCCTGCCCCGACATGTCGTCTCAAACGGTAATGAATTGCCTTTGCCAACTGTTTTCGATTTTCGGTATGCCTTCTTACATACATACCGACAGAGGCGCTGCTTTCATGTCTACCGAATTACGGGCATTTCTTCTGGAGAAAGGCGTAGCAACCAGTCGTACTACCTCATACAATCCTCAAGCCAATGGGCAGGTCGAGCGCCTCAATGGAACACTTTGGCGTGCCATCACTCTAGCATTAAGATCACGGGGCCTACCAACGGCACAATGGGAGTCTGTTCTACTCGACGCCTTGCATTCCATCAGATCTTTGCTCTGTACTGCAACGAACGCCACGCCACACGAACGACTGTTTACCTATAACCGAAGATCGACATCTGGGACAACTCTTCCTACTTGGCTCACTGTACCAGGACCAGTACTTCTCCGGCGGAGTGTTCGTCAGTCCAAATTCGATCCCCTGGTTGAAGAGGTGGAGCTATTGAATTGTAACCCGCAATTCGCTCACGTTCGCTTCGGTAATGGACGTGAAGATACAGTTGCTCTTCATCATCTGGCACCCAAAGGCGAAGATATAGATCAAGTTGAAAATTCAATACCGGAGGGCGACGCAATTCCTGAGCAACAAGTAAATGGGGATGCGACCACTGATCCTAATATTCTTCGTGAAGAAAATACAACTGAAACGAACAACGGGCGTATTCTTTTGGAAAAACAACAACGTGTACGGCCTTACAATTTGCGTACCAGAGAAGCGTGACATAATGGCTCATTCCTTTTCAAGCCGCAGTGAATGTTGTGAACTTTTCTTATAATACGTATCTAGTCATATTCATATCTCTACCGCTATTAACACTCTTTTTTTCCTTTATATGTTTAAGCCATTCCGGCTTCATTGTAAAATGAATAAAGCCTAAATTCTTGGTTCATTCGTCTTTTCAAGATTCAAGCATCACTCATCGTTCTAAGACTCAATCACCTTCGTAACATCGAAAACTAATACATCCATATTCAGCTAACAGGCTTCAAACTAGTGAAAAGGTACACATCTTCATTTTAAGAATACTAATCAAGGCATACTTCCAAGTAACACGTGCTTTATGCAGAGAAACAAGACTGTAAATGTAGACAAGTAAACACATGGAAGTCATATGAACTATACATTTGTCTAACTAGATTAACGTCAAATTCATAGACACAACACAAGTAGACCTAAGTAATTCATAAAGATATTTTTACTGAAACAATGAAATCATTACAAAAATCGCTTTTTGTCTACTTTACTTTGACTGATAGTGTATTAAGAGCCTTATTATACCAATCTTCATTACTAATAGAAAAACAAAATCACAAAACTACTAATAACTTGGGGAGAGAATCTTTAGGCATGTGTTACAACGAACAGAATTGCCTCGCCATGATGAACTTTTGGACTTCATAATTGTTACTTAACTTGTCACATGTCATTTTTAAAGCATAAGTTAATTAATTCTGATTGACACAGACAAATCATTGTGAAATTTTGCGCGTATGCACGATAATTAAGGTTGCCAAATTCAGAGACACAAAAATAAAACACACTTGAGAAGGGATTCAGTATAAAAAAACACGAGAGTGAAGAAACAATAAATCAATGAAAATTAGTGGAATATATACGATTTTTCGATTTTGATTCATGTGACTGGGGGTTACGGGCTATTGATTTTTAACGTCTTGGGGCTCCTCATTCTCTTCACATGCCTCGAAATGACCGGTATACAGATCATGAATCGGTGCAGCGATTCTGTTTCATTATCCTCAAATTTTTCTCAAACTAATTAAGTGATGGGATGCTCACCAACCACGTCTCCTGTGGTCCAAGGTTCGATTCATGACCAAGGCACTCCTAAGCCTTGATTAACCGGAGCAGTAAGTTCAGCAAAGAAAGAAGGTTGAGCGGAAGGCTAACGACCCTACCGCGTAAAAAAACATCGCTTCTGAAACTCCAAAGCTCGAGCCTTGTGTTCAACTCGAAACACATAGATGTACAGACGATCGTTTAAGAAACTTCACATTAAATTGTACCTAATAGTGATTTAAAATATAGTTTTGGAAAATAACGTGTGAGAATACAGTTCACACTAGGCTTTGCTTTATAAAGCTTTGTATCATGTATTCAGGTATTTATTGTGTCTTCAGTATTGCTCGATGCTAGTGAGATATCGAAGTAATTTGAAAATTTATATTACATTTCTAAAATAAGGGAGAGATTTGAGCAAAATGTCTTCAATAACTTCCATCAGTTCCAAAGTTGTAAAATCCATAAATGACATCCCACAATAGTCCAGTAAGGATGTAGTGATACTGATTCATTCATCACCGATAGTCGACTATAATTAACATGATTGAAACGAATATGAAGCTGTACAAAAATAACGCTAGGTATCCTCCAGGCATCACACAGATTGACAAAATATTAGATAAAATTAAGCGGTGAACATGGTTCCGTGTTGAAAGACGCCTGCGTTTGACAGATAAAATTTCCTGTCTATTAGGTGCATACTTCATTCTAACATTAAACAGCCGAGTCACCGCTTCCACAGGAATTCGAAGTATCAGATACGCAGCATTTACGTGAATCCCGTTTGATTCTTTGGTATTAAAGACAGTTCTCACAGAACGACTGGTTAATGTTTACGCTGCAATCACAGTCGGTCTATTGGAAAAGTTACTTAGGTAGACTGAATGTTTATTTAGTCAGGAAAGTAGTATTACGCTACACTTTTATTTAGCACACTATTTTACGTCTTCTGCTCAGATATTCTCGTATAACCTATTACTCGATCCAGAAGGCCTTAACAATGCAAAGGGAAAACAGTATTAACAAACAACATTACGGGTGATCCTACTAAATGAGTTCCCTTTGAATGAGGTATTGAATATAATTTAGTACATGTAACCACCGCACTAAAGAAGTTGTGGTCACCTACTGAGTTAACAATGCCATCACTATTAAGGCGAATACATATATATAACATATACTTTTAGGTGATGTAACATTTACTGTTTTATTACAGAATAAAAACAGACCTAAAATGTAGGCGCAAATTACTCGAACAAATCAAAAATTTGCAAACTGACCTGACCACATTTTCGAACACGATCTGGTGCATAGCTAGGATCACATATTACTTTGTCACAGCGTGCGACCTCACCTTCAGATTTTACGCCAACAACTTTGCCATTTTCCATCACAATTTCGTCTACTGGTTTGTTTAACATATATGTACCTCCATACACTGCGCTCAGTCGAGCAAATGATTGAGGCAGTTCTCCCAAACCATAAAGAGGATAAAGGTATGGAGACTTTCCAAATCGGTTGACTGAGTGATTGTACAACTGCATTTTGGTAATAACCTCTATGGCCGGTGCTTTCTGTTTATACGAATCGTCTGTATACAAGCAAACGGCATGACCGACGAAATTCTAAGCATTTAAAAATCAAGTTAATATATACGTAGTTGCACGGGACTGTTACATTAGGCACAGTTATATAAATGTAAAAACCACAAGTAAAGTAAAACAATAATGAAATTAGAAACATAAAAGATGGGAAGAAACCGTTTATGTCCCGAACTGTTAGTAGTGACTGAAAAACTGACATAAGAATTGGGACAAAAGTGAATTAGCCTATGCTGCTACACACCGCAAAAGTAGACATAAAAGATAACAGAAAAACATTACAACACACAAAAATTTTAAAATTCGAAACTTTGAAAATAATATAGGTTGCATACATCTGTGCCATTCTGAACAATACAAAACCGCGTACACAACGTTCCCAAATAATAATTCTTAGCATCCCAATGTTTCAAGTCAGTCTACAACTTCATGGACTGATATCATATTTTTGATCTGGCCATCCGTAAATCTTTTGAAAATTAATCCTACTTTAGCTAACATATTTCCTAACACAAATGAGGAAGCACCTACCACAGACGGTAACTCTAAGCATATACGTGCCTGTCTAAATACAAGTAAAATACCGGCCATAAAAATAACACCTCTCAATCAACAAAATTAAGTGAAGCTTTTAAGCCAAGAAGTATGACATTTGATGTTTCTTCTAGGACACTCTGAAGGACAAACACTAGATCATCTTATACTAGTTGGAGACCAGTATCTAGCCGCATTTTTTGGTCTTGTTCTTGAGCTTAACTTATTCACAAATGAATATAAACATTAAGGTTTTGGACACAGTAAAGCCCGTTTCTTGTCGTCATTACAAGAGTTGTTCTCTTTCTTATAAACTTGGATGCTGAGTGACCTACACCAGGTGGGATTATTATAGAATTACAAATATTAGTCAGCATCCCAGATAATGCAGTTAAACAGTTCTTACCGGTGCACTAATAAACTTCTAGTCTCATTAAGGTTGGGTTTACAACTTGCAAAGATCTGTGTTGCTCCCCAAAGACTTTTGCTCAATGCTGCAGCAGTCTAGTAAGTTACTAGAATACAATTCACCTTCTTGCAGTTAAACAATAATAACCTGAACGAATACTGTGCAAATAATATTATGGGCACTAAAGATATTGCAGAGGCAGAATTGTAAACCTAACATGAGCTTAATGACAAAAGATAGAACGAAGGGTTAGAGGGATTTCCTATAGGACGGCGTTCGTAACACCAGCTGACTAGTTACAAACAACACGAATCTCTTGCTTTACGACTAAATTCTGCATATCTGCTGAACTGGTTTTACCGCATAATTTGTCAACTCGACAGGTGATCAACGCAATATGGTTAACCAATGCTGACGACCCTTATAGTTATACCTTCAGTATCAAGTTTTTTCACACTACTAATGCCTTTTATCTGTCATCTACGGTCTCATGGATGTCTTTGATATGACGTCTATTCCTCTGATCTTCATCCTGACTGGATTTAGTTTTTCTAAAAATCGTTAATTTTGCATACTGCAGTTAAGAAGATTCCTTTTCACACCAAATATACTGAATGTACTTCAAGCAAAAGATTGGTCTCGTGATATTTTCACATAAGTTTTATCAAACCTCTAACAACTGTCCTTAAATCAGGAGTGATTTATGTAAATAACTTTATGCATAAACACGTTAAGTGAAAACTGGACGAAAATAAAACTGACCTTGGTTGTTTCATCAACACCAAAATGTTGAAAAGCCACTTCGATTGAATCTCTCATGACACTTTTAGGGTGAGGATAAACATTACTCCAAGTCGAGGGATTTTGAGGGTCAACGTCCACTACCCATTGCAGGAGATTTCTTAATCTTCTCTTTTCAAACAACGAAACCAAACCTGATGTAATTACTTTTAAGAAAATAACGCACTTGTAGTGAGCGCTTCACTTGCATTGCTAGGAACTTTGTGTATTGCCTTCTTATCATAAACGTAGCTTTCCTCAATACTTTTGAATTCCAGATACTTGGTGACACCGGTATGAACAAGCAATTTCACTAGCTTTCCTACAAAGTATACGTTAAATAGAAGGATTACTGACCATCAGCCATCAGGAACTTCGGGATAAGATCCACATTCCAATCTCTCCCACGGCCAAAAGCCTGAAGGTCAGCTTTCACATTGAACTTTTCAAATAGACCTTCGAGAGGAGTTATGGAAGTAGTCTCAGCACCATAGTAGTTATTCCTGTCCATATGCAAAACCTTCTTCCCTCAACCGACATCAAACCACTGAGTATACATTCCTGCATAATAAAAGGTATGTATGACCAAATAGTACAGTACCTTAAGACCAGTACCCAAAACAATAATGTCGTACTGCTCATCCATTGAATCCTGTTAAAAACCGCGGCGAACTTATGATGGTGTGTCATGTCATACATTTACCAGTCATCGCGATTTCAAGGTCGTGGAATTCTGCCTAATTGCTTCGTGAATATGTCTTACTGCGCTCTTCCGAAGACGTAACATATGCAGTTAGCCTAGTGGATTTGCTGATTTAGAATTGACGCTTACTAAGACTTTGAATGAAAATGTAGCATGGTAACTTAAGTTACAACATCCATGTAACAACCTAATGCTGACTTTCAAACTTTACAGTAAGGAAAAATGGGAGCCAGTTGATGGATAATTAACAGTTACACTGATCTATGTATACAAGAAGTACTAAGGAGAGAATGAAACTATTAGTTGTAAGAAGGTGTTCGGAGCCCGACGATAAATATTAAATATATTTCAAACATTTATTCCCCTTGAAAATTTGGATAAGATAAGATGACGTCATTAAATTTTGTTGGTTCTTCTCAGTAGCATACAACCATGAACAATTCAGTATCAAAATGCGAGATATTCAAGTTCTGCAGTTATCGGTCATATTAATATTGTGTAACTAAGTAGCAGTTTGGAAAGGTATAATGGTAATAGTTAATTAGGCTTGCTAGTATCTATGAGAGCAATGAGAAATATTTAGGAATTATGAACGAATGTTAGAATAGAACGAAGCCGTTTTACCAACACTACATTTGCATATCATTATTATTCCTTTGGGTTCCTTGTGAAATACTGGGCTTCAGTGATGCATACCCATTTCCCACTGCTTCTTTAAATCCAGTTGCGCTAGCCCCATGACTACCCATCAGCTCTCATCTCCTCACACGATCTTCTCCATGTTATCCTCGGACCGAGCCTAACTCGTCGTTTCCTGTTCGGGTCCCACTTGTGGTGATGCCTCGTACGTGGTGTCACCCAGCGGTTTCCTCAGTGCATGGACGACCGTCCATTTCTATTTTCTTGGGAATACTTGTTGAATAATAGGTTCAAGGTCGGTTCGTTCCCAGAGTTTCTTGTTGCTAATTCTTTCTGGCCCGTTATCCGATCTTCGACATGGCGCTTGCGAAGATAGCTGTTTATTTAAGCCTGCGGTGGCCTCTTGGAAATGTTTTACATGACACTCTTGTCATGTTTCGACTCATACGGAAGGACTGACCGACTTAAAATCTGGGCCATAAATATAAATCTTGATCCTGATTCTAGGTGCAGATTCCAGATCGGTGAAGGCGTATCCTGACATCTTCATCCACCTGTATTCGTAACCCCTGTCAAATCTCTCCCGTGCTGGTTGTTGTCCTTGTGAGTGTATAGTTATTTTCTTCACCCCTATCTTCTCTATGTTCACCTCAGTCCTGTCTTTGCTGCCCTCCTCCTCAGCCAGTTTGTTGGTTTCGCTTGTAAGTCTTCCAGTTTTCGTGATATTAAACATAAATCATCGAGACGCAAAATCCATATCTTCTAGAGTCTTCTTATCGGTTCAGAGTATTTCTGTCTTCCCACTCCTTGTTCACATCAACAGCTATATGACGGGCACTGTAATATAGCTGCTGAATGATGATGAAGATTTGGGCACTGCATACCATAGTGTTAAAGGAGTTACCAAATTACTTCTCAGTCGACGCTCTGCTGAAGGCTTTTCCGAAGCTGATGAGGTTGAGGTAGATGTTTGACTACCATTCTGTGCTTTGTTCTGTGATGATGTGTAGAGTTGCAACTTTATGAGAACATGACTTGCCTTTCCTGAATCCAGCTTGTTCAGGTCGGCGGAGCTCTGCATCCAGTTCATATTTTGTCCTGTCCAAGATGATGCGAATTACTATTTTACTTGGTGTGTATGAGAGAATTATCGCACACCGGTTCTTGCAGATGCACACATCGCCCTTCTTCGCTAGCTGAACATTGTAGCTTTTCTTCTAAACTTCTTGCAATAATGCCATGAGAACGTCTGCTGCAGTCTTTGGATCCGTTTCCAGTGCTTCGGGGTGATTTCCATCTGGCCATACTGCCTTCCTGGACTTCAGTAGCTTAATCGCATCTAGGATTTCTGGTTTCGGTGGAGAATCGGTGTTCATAGGTAGGCAGTTCTGTGCGTAGTGTCGGTGTATTCTGGGTGAGTTGTAGGTGATGGTCGATTCAGAAGTCGTTTGAAGCGATCAGCCCATTTTTTTTACTTGTCTCCCCTCCTTAGTAATTGGATTCCCCCAACACATCTTTTGTATGTTTCACCTGCGTTAGTATCTTCCTGGAGAGAGACCTGGTTAAATGCTATGGTGTCCTGAAGTCCATTCACCCGGGACCTACTCTTCTCCGGTTGCCAGCATGTCACAGAAAAACCTTTCGTGTTTCTAAGCTCTCTTCATTGTCTTGTTCAGGGTGATGTGCACTGAACTCAGGCTCACCTTCTCTTGTCCATATTTGTGCTTGTGTGTCTGCTATTCCACCACCCCCATTCCCTTTAATTTCCAGGCGTCCATTTAGGACCATTCCTTGCCTTGCCTCTCCCTTCTTCCTAAGGCGGCTGAGCACGTTCCCTCAAATGTCACCTTCAGAGAGTTCGGGCGTCCTTCTATACTGTTTTGTTCCGTGATGTTACTTAATGCCTGTGACTTTGCCATGATGGCTGCAGTGGATGTTTCGTTTAAAGCTCCACCCCTTATTTTCTAAATGTTAAACCTGAACTGCGGTCTGTCTGAGGTTGTCTTGAACGTTTTCAGCCTGACCCGGAAAGCTACTGTTATAAAGGTACTGAACTTGCTTGGATGACTATTTTGTCGCCGAGTGTCTGGTAGTTTTGTTGTTGTCTGTACTGACTAGAATGAGTCTCCAACCAAGATACTAGCCAAATGATCACTTGTAAATGTTCCCCACACTGATTGAACACACAGAAATCAGGTTTAACTGAGACAGCTGTGACGACAACTTTATTGTTCACAGTACAGAGAAAATTCTTTACACGTCAACTCGAATGTAAACCATTAATAATCAGTATCTAGTTGATTACACCGGAAGTAATTTTACAACCAACAATGCTAGTTAGTCCGTCCGAACAGTTCCTTGAACTAGATGGTGATCTGAGCCCCCGTCTGTTCTCCTCGACTTTGTGTCCAGAAGAGCGATTCTCCACTTCCCCTTAATTGAGATAAAGCCTATCTACCTTTCGGTGTGTCTATTGGGCCAAGCCCATTTGGGCTTATGTATAAACTTGTGTTTTTACATACCGCCCTTAATCATCAAATCATTAAATGCACAGTAGTCTGCTAATAGCTCGAAGTTCTCATTTATTTCGTGGTGAACCTCTCGACCCATGAGGAGTCCTTTTCCAGTACTGTTCGCTTCCGGTAAAGAGTTCATATAGCCCGTCTGGATCTGGAAATCGCAATTTAGGGCGTTGTCGATTATAGTTTGCACTTGTCTTCAGAAATCATCCTTCAAATTTTCCGGGTTGTCTTAAGGTGAGTAGCGTTGGATAGTTGCAACTCCTCTTCTTTTTGAGATCAGTCTTGCTGTTATTATCATGGAGGAATTCAGTGTTCACTTCATTTGAGCTTTGCCTGCTGCCGGTGACATCGTGACGTCCATTCCCTCGGTATGCACAGACGAATTGATTGCTGACGAAATCTCAGCACGGATACAAAAGACTCGTTTCTCACATGCCAGTTTATGCTGTCTCAGGCGTAGACGTGATATCCGGCTAGCTGTCAACCAAAGGGCGTGTGTACCGCTTACCACTCCGCTCTATCCTTCCTCACGGTCATGAGACGTAGCCACTGAAAGTGGAAGACAAGAAAAGGCCAGTTAACTGTCTTTGATCATATGTGCATGTGTTCTATCTCCCATGTTAGGTGGTATAATAGGGTGAGCAATATTGACTTATGGATCTGGTCGAGGGGTAGGTGGGTGGGAGGGGAAGTCAATAAACGAGGTTGTGAAGCAGCCGCATCGATTGAGATGGTTAGGATGTGTTATGCATGTCTAGCTATCGATCGCCTTCCTCGATGGGCGATGTTAGTTGATATAGGGTCGGGTTGGAAGAGTCAGTGGTAGTCAAACCAAAACATGGCTTCATTTGTCAGTGAAATTCACAACAGTTAGTTTAAGCCAAGTTGGGATGTGTAGACTTCCTGATTGGGGTCCTAGGAATGGTAAAAACCAATGGCTGGAGACAATCAGTGATATGGCTCAAAATCGTTGTCAATGGAGCAGATGCATCCACACCTTGTGACTTATAATATCTAATAAAACTAAATCGTTCCTCCATATTACTATTCTTTTCATCTCATATCTCTGTTCACCACCTCTCTTTTGTGTCTCTCTTTACTCTCATGTCTTGTTTTGTGTGCCACAAGGAGGGAGTGCGGAAACTTGAATTGCTGCACATTGGCACAAAGTTCTACGCTGAAACTAGTCATTCACTTATGCTCCTGGGTGTCATCGAGATGCTCTGAATGGATTACTGAACTTCCAGTGGACAATTTCCGTAGTCTAAATCTATCTCACTTGCTGACACAGATTCTTAACATTTGCTGCCCTATCTCACTTCTTTGGACTTCCAGCTCTGTCAATGTAGTTGAAGATTGAACGATCAATTCATTGTTGTTTGCTCAAAACCAACTTCCCCAATTTTCGCGGAGGCATCAATACGACAGTCATCGTCTCATCGGTCGCTGTTCAGAAAGAAGTCAGCAATAAACCGTCAGAAGTAATATTGTGATTTATTATTGTAATATTTGTTCACAGACCTTAGTAGAAATATTTTTTATATGTTGGTGTTACAATAAAGAATTCTCAAGCGGCCAATCGGTGTTTTGGTTTTTGCGTCCGTTATTACTAAGCGTTTCTGAAAAACTTCAAGGAACAGCGTGAGCCCGAGTGCAGCAAGAGCTGGGCATTGACGGTTTACGAGACGTGGCTGACAAGCTCCTAATATTTTTGGAATGTTCATCGTCCGCTCTTTATTTTCTCTTTCATCCGTCGAAGAATACACTGACTGTCTTCTTGAAGACTTTCACCAAATCACGCGACTCCAGGATAAAATAAGTCTTTAATGGTTTAGCTGTTGATTAAATTTACTGTAGCAGTTTGATTGATATTCCTGTCTGGGTTACCTCGCTCTGCACCCAGCTTCCACTTCTTTCCGTGACTTGGGAGTGGCTAAGAAACTAGTGGGCTAG